CAGGGGTGGAATTCAACCGGTGCGGACTGGTTAGGCCTAACCGGTAGGGATGATTTGAATCGGTTCGCCAAACCGGTAAAAAGCACCCCTGGTTGGCTCCGTCCACCCCCTGCGAGTTGCAGCAGGGAATGGGGTGTGCTAGCATGGCTTGCGCATAGAAAAGGGCGCCAGCAGTGGCACATTCAAGAAGTGGAGCGGATGGAGGTCAGAATTTTTTTTTCGCTGCAAGAAGCCTGCAGCAACCATCTCTTTTTTGGTGCAAGAAGCATCCAGCTGCACCGAAAAAGAGGAGGTGGCTACAGATATCTTGCGACAAGGGGGGCAAGATGCGGGCTGGCGGAGAGCACAATGGCAATGGCTCAGCCTTGGCTTGCCTTCCCCTCTGCCTGCCACCTGCTGCCATGGGAGGAAGGTAAGCCCAAAGAAAGAGGTAGTCGTGGGGGAAGAAGCGGGGCTAGGGCCAGGTCCTCTGGAGGAAGGGAAACAGGACTGGCGAAGGGAGAGTGGAAGGCCTTTGAGAGATTAGGCCACGTCTGGGCAGAAAATAGGTAGGTAAAAATTCAAAAAAAATTTCTACCAGGTTCTGTGGGTGTGGCTTGATGGTGGGGGGGTCATGTGACTGAGTGGGTGTGGCCTTGAGTGACATCAAGTTGGTCATGCCCACTCAGTTACAAGCCACGCCCACAGAACCAATAGGGCAAAAATTTGAATGTCACCACTGCTTTAAGACAACCCAGAAGCTACAACTCAGCCCAAATGCTGTAGCACATGCAGTTCTTTGCACCCGAGAGCTTGTCCATGTTAAACAGTCTGCTGTGTCATTCCAATTTCCATCTAGATGTGATTCAAAATATTGGTTCTCACCTTTAAAGCAGGACCACTTCTCCCTCATGGTATCCCACCAGGTCAGATAAGGGGGTTTGTTCCAAGTCCTGACAGTTAGAACAATTAATCAATGGAATGACTTGTTACTAGAAGTTGTGAATGCTCCAAAATTGGAAGTTTTAAAGAAGAGATTATCTGAAATGATAGTGTTTCCTGCCTGAGAAGGGGTTAGACTAGAAAACCTCCAAGTCCCTTCCAACTCTCCTATTCCATTATTCTATTAAGACAGGCAGCCATATCAGTTTTATAAATAAATAAAATAAATGTGAGGAAGTACAAGATTAACAATTGAATTTTGCAAATATTCTAGACTTTAGTATTATAGTATTTTTCTAGTTGCAGCACATCATTCAGTAAAATGTGATATTAAACCTGAAGCAGAATAAAGCTTTTTCAAGTGACAAATGGAAAAAAAACCCCTTTGGAGTTGAAAAAAAGGGATTGACAAACTCATTTTGTTTGCAAAAATAAGCAAACAGCACAGTGGTTATTTATTAAAGGGGAAAATTCACAAAGAGGAGTACTATTAATAGCTACATGAATATTTTTGAGCCACCATGTTAATCTAAATTGCTAGTTGAGGGCAGGTGGATGCAAGACACTTACAAACCAGCAATTTTTCAAATCTCTTAGGGTTCAGAAACTGCAACTCACATTGAGGAAGTAATTAAGAGAACAAAACTAGCTTGTTACCTTATGTTACTTTAAATCAACTTGAGGATAAATCAACGTTCTCAAATCCAGTGCTCACTAGATGTGTTAGGCTTTCATGATTCCCAAATCAACTCAAGTCAAGCATCCTCTCTCTGTTATTATGGATGGTTCTAAGGGACAGATTTATGAGTTACTGTAAAATGTAAGGTCATAACATTTCTCTGGGGCATTTTGCTTTGTTTATTTTCTAGTTAATTGCTTGTTGAGGGAGCATAAATATATGTATCAACCTAATTCTTCCAAACTTTATTATATTTGGGGGAAAATCTTTCTAATGGATTGTCGGTTCTTTCTTTGGTAGAATAAAGTAACCACTTTATAATAAATTACTCATGTGTGGAGGAAATATAGCAAAATGATTTAATTGACAAGCCAAGAACTCTGATGCTTCTTTATATGCTTGTAGGTAAAATGAATCACTCTCTATTCTTAGTATTTATCACTTCATTTATTTATTTGTCATTAGTTTAAGTCATCTTCCACTTTTTCCCATTTTTCTACTCTCTCTTTCTCAGTATGAAAGCAAAAGATCAATCTTAACTCCTTTGTAATATCCAGTCATCATCCAGAAATCATTCTTAATGATCTTCTCCAACCTGAAGCTTTCCAAGGCGTCAGGATGGGGATAGAGCTGATTTGGGAATCATAGATAATGAAGGACAACTCCATCCAAGAGGCATCAAATTGTAAAAGGCTGATTTATAAGACTGTGCTCAAAAGTTCCAACCACATAAATATTGAAGGCTATGCTTATTGATTTTCTGCCTCATTTATTTAATACCAATGCAATTCTATGTGTTAGAAATGCACATAGATGTTTGGATAGATGCTTCACTTCAAATAAAGTACCCTTTCAAAGATGCTGCAAAAAGCAGACATGGTCCCCTCATTTCTATCAGTGAAATGAACCATGTTGCTTTGTTTCAGGCTGACCTGGAGTCTCCCTCAGCCTTCTCTTCAAAGCTGACACTGTAAAACAAGACCGAGAGGAGCATTTCTTCAAGAAGTGATTCAAGAGAAAGCTAAGTAGAACCGTTCCCTGCAACATTAGCCTTAGATTTCCTAAGCTGACTGGCTAGAGCAGGTTGTAGGCACAACTGTCAAAATTACCAACCTTGCTCAGTCAATCAGTCTCTGAGACGCCATTGTGAGCCAAGGCACTTGTCGGCTGGCAAGTGGTTGGGAAAGCCCATCAGCTCTAAGAGTTTTGTACACCTCCTGGTTCTCTAAATTGCTTGTCAACAAATGGAGAGAAACAAGCAGCTGTCTAGCTTTGGAATCCTCATAGTACATGCTGAGAAAACTTCAGGTTGGATATCTTTCATATACAGAAGGAAGAACCTTCTCCTTCAGTGACAGTATTGAAGGTCTTAAAGGGTAGACGGTTCCAGGATGATTTGCTGAAGCCATCCAGCATAGAAAATCTTTAGTATGGATAGGCCAGCACTGCAGAAAGAGTCCTCTAAGCATCTTTCTCAGATTGATGAAGGGCTTTAAACCTAAGAGCATTTGTTGAAACATTCTAACTTGGAAGACAGTGCCTTCTCTAACTGCACACAGAAGATCTTGAGAATCAGTCAGCATGATCAGTCAGATTGCTTGATAATCAGTCAGCATGAGCATCACTCACACCATCCAGCACAAAAAGAAAGATCCAATACCAACTAATTAGTATGTTATTGTATTAATGCACATATTTTAACATAGGAGGGGGAAACACAATTCCATCGGACATAAATAGTTTAAGAGCATACAGCCATTTACAAAATGACAAGAAATTATAGTATAATGATCTTTCAGTAAGCAAAATCTCATTTAAAGTAATTACATGCAAGTCTCATGAAGAAAATTTTAATATATCAGTCAAACTTTGAATTAATCAATGCTATTTAATAGACCCCCATCTTTTATTTGCCAACAATGGGTAGCATATATTTTGCAGCTAATTATAACATAGCACAACTCTGGAGCTTTAGAATGGATTCTGTTTTCCTTTTTATTAATTTTAATTAAGTAAGCAGCTTAGAACAGATCACAACTTTGTGGAAAAGGAACTCAAAAGGTCTAGAAAATATAGCTTCATGTGATATGATTAAGAAAGATCTCAGAATGACTTTTGCCACCAAGAAGCCTATAAGAAGAGGCAGTTATTATTAAATTATCACTCCTGAAAAGGTCAGGAAAATATCTGCTATAGTACTAAGAATTATTTTTAAACATCATGATAATAATTACATATAATACCAATGTTTTCCTGCACCAACAACTCATTAACTCTTTCAATAAATTAACTCTCTGTGTTGTGCACACCACTTACCTCTGGGGTTAGTCAAAGTATTTGTTTATGAGTACAATGGGCTTTTTATTATATGGAAAAGATGGGCCTAACACAATATTTTGGCTCTAGGTGTGCATTTGGGCGAAGAACCAGATAAAGTTTTTTTCTTGTCCAAAACTGCCAAGAACAGAAGAATACATTTCATGTCCTATTCTCGGGTACTATCAAATAATGTCTACATTATGAATGTCACAGAAAAAAGCACTTATTGTGGGACTTATGGGTTAATGCACTATATATGTGGAAAATGCACTATATATGTGGAAAAGTAAGCTTGTATTAGACAAAAATGCTATGAGAAAAAAAGCAAATATTGGAGGAATTTATATAATAAAAATACTAAAAATATACTTATAAATATACTTAGTATAGTTGAATAAAATCCAGTATTAATGCAAATTTAATTTAATGGGCCATTTGGGAAAGGGGTATCATTTGTATATTTCTATAATTATGCAAATGTTATTATCTGCATCATTTTAATCTATTTAATTGCAAAATGATACAAATCTTGTAAATCAGTGCCCATTATGTTATTTTATGTGACTTAAGATGACATTGGATACAAATTTTGTTTGTTGCATCTGAAATCTATTAAATTGGACTTTGTTAAATGGAAATTTTACCAGTCTTTAAAAAAAAAAAAAGCAGGAGGAAAGTAAACCATAGGACTGGATAATGCTCCAAATTGATGCTTTAATTAACAAGATTTTGATCAAAATACATCTTTAAACTAAGTATGAAACTGAAGTCCTGCTTTGAGCTGGATACCAAAAAGGCTTTTTTCCATGTCTTGTCTTCGGGTCTCCAGTACTCCGGTGCATGTGAAGACCAGCTGGCAGACGTGCATGCATATGCCAGAAATCCGAAGATCAGCTGGCTAGCGCGTATGTAAACCAGCCAGCTGATCTTCAGGTTTCCAGTGCTCCGGCACACACACATACACATTCCAATTTGGGCACTCTGTGTCAAAAAGGTTCGCCATCACTGCACTATACTATACTATACTATACTATACTATACTATACTATACTATACTATACTATACTATACTATACTATACCTGTCAGGGTTTTGATCAATCCCATCCTGGCTATGAGATAATCATCCTGATTAATTAGAGGATGGACCGTGGCTTTCTCCAAGTTGCAATATTCTGAAAATAAAACCAGAAGAAGTATTCTCTAATAAAACTTTTTTATTTGTAAAAAGTAACAAAACATCTATCTATCTAATTAGCTACATTTTGGCAGCATTCCTCTGCCGGATCATTCCTGGCAGAGAGAACAAAGGAAAAAGTAGTAATGAAGGAATGGAATGTAGGACATGCGCAGTAAAAATACTGATAAGGAACTTGACAAACTACAGTAAGTCTATTAGTCCAAAAATATGAAGCTCAGCTGGGAAATACAAGAACGCAGTGACAATACCCATACCCATACCCATACCCATACCCATACCCATACCCATACCATGCTTACCATACTAACTAGTATGTCCATACTAGATTTTGCAGTCCAAAGGATTCTGGTTTTAAATTATTTAGCCTTTTCTTTTACCTATGGCTCAATTCCCATTTTTCTCTGGTGGAGGTTGTTTGCCATTGACAATAAGGACTCTTAGTTACTCACCAGTATTTAATACCTTTCATAGTAGATCACTGCTATAAGAAACATGGTGTACAGGAAAGATGTGGATTATTGCACTGACTTTGAGTGGCCTCAAAAGAGTTTGAAGAAAGTTCTTGCAGTAAAGTATATACATGAAGACTCACTTTCCCCGTAGATTATTCTTTCACTGAATGGCTGAAGCCCTTCCGTTAAGCCCTTCCATACCTTTCCATTTACATTAATTTAAGAACCAGTTTTGGTGTTCTGTAGTTGTTAAGGTGCTAGCCTAGAAACAAGGAGATAGAGTTTTAATCCCTATTTTAAGCATGAAAGCTGGCTGGTTGACCTTGAGCCAATGATTATATCTCAGCCCAACCCACTTCACAGGGTTGTTGTTGTGGGGAAAATAGTGGAAGGAAAATATACTAGGAATGTTAAATAAAAAAGTGGGATAAAATAAGATAGATAGATAGATAGATAGATAGATAGATAGATAGATAGATGATGGGTGGATGGATGGATAGAGTACTGTATTTTACTCATTAAAGAAGGTTTTTGGTAATGTGTAAGTGTGTGGTTTTTGCTTTGTGTATGAAGCTTTTTTAAAAAATTAAGATGAGCCTTTTTTTCATGAAGCTTCTACAAAATCTATTTTATAGGCAGACAAGAATCTTTTGCATATGAGTATATGATCTGAGCTACATACAATTCTCAGCATCTCTGCTGCTGTCCAGCAATCATCCACATATTTGCAGCTAAAATATAGCAGTCTCTTTTGAACTCTCTCTGTAACATCACCTTCAATGTAATACACTGAATTGCTTCAAGATGATCAAGTATGACACTAATGAAAATTACTTATGTTTCTAATTTGAAAAGGTTCATTTTGCAACAAGAAAAAGAACCATTAGTTGAATAAAATTTCTAGTTTAAATTAAGTTAGACTTAAAATATATGACTACATATTAAGTTCTCTTTTTTTAATAGAGATTTTTCACTCCAACTGTTCACTGTCCCTCAGAAAAGGGATGAAAAAAATAACATCAAAATGGATAAGTTATATGGGAAGCAGGGGAGAAGAGGTCACATTTGGTGTGTAAAAATGTGTGAATATTTCAGGCATTTCAGACTTCTACAGTAACATTATACTCATTTTGTAGTTATCAAAAGATAAGTTCAGGGCAGCAAGTTCAGTGGTTTTATTTTAGCCCATCTATACGATGCTGCCCAAAGGGATCCTTAAACTTTTCTTTCAAATTGATATTAAATAAGCCCTTGCAAGCATATCTCAAGGAAATCTTTAACCTGAATTTGCATACGTTCTTTAAAAAGGATTTCAGTGTGATTAATTTCAGTATAAAATGAGAAGCTATTGTCTATAATCCAACTTGCAAAGTCTGAATTGGCTTCAAATAAATCTGTAGTTCTTGAAAGCTTTAGCTGGCCTTCAGGATAGCGGCCTTTTTCCCCCTGCCTGTATGTATAAGAACCTACTCAGATATTACAGTAGCAAAAGCACTCTACAGCAGGAAACAGGTGTTTTCAATTGCACTATGCATGATCTGAACATTATGCAGAAGAAATGCTTTGGAAATTGCTGGAATTTAAGTGTGATACCTCTTTAAGATAGCCTTGTCTTTTTTTCAGACCTCCATTCAAGACCTGAGGAAAAGATTCAGCTCTTTTAAGAATCTGCAGTTAGAATCTGTTTCTTCACTGACATGGAATACTTCCTGAAATGTATTCAGAACGAAGTTAGAATGTAAACTAGGTGCAGATTCTAGAGTTGCTTTCAAAAGTATTATTTTTAATTCTCCAAAATAAGAATTGTTTAATGATGTCATCTTTGAAAGTCGTTTTATTTTTTATTTTCAAACTAATTTTGCTGAAATGTGGGAAGTCACAGAGGATGTTGCTCACAAGTTAACGAAAGACATGAATTTCTCTTGCACACATATACACACACCCCATTTGCACTTTGAAATTAAATAAGAACATCACACTTCACATATGAGGATTTCATTACAATTTTCTTGTTTAAAATGATCTCTAAAACGGAATCTCTCTCTCTCTGAGGAGATGCTTGTTTTGGGATTGCTTGCTACCTGACTTTGGTGGCAAGTCACACTTGGCTTGTGAGCTGTACATTGTTGATCCCTGTCCTAGTTCAACTACTATAGCATCAGAAAAGGGAGGACAGAGAAAAACACAGAGAGATTCCTTTCTCCTGTGAAGTACTTATCACATTGATAAGTCAAGATCCAAGTTATCAGAAAACTTAGAATATCCAATGGACAATCATGACTGGTATGAATGTTGAATATTAACTTCTGATTGCAGAGGAAAAAAGAGGAGGATTTGGGGATGATTCATTGGTTTCAGAAAAATTTGTATAGAATTTTCATCCATTTCATTTCAACTAGGGGATGCACCGATGACTTCAAAATCCATGCAGATTGTATATTCTGATTTCACCTCTGGCTTGCTAGAGCAATTTCTCTGGTGAACCTCATGCTATTTAATAAAACCCAGGACTTAAATATGGTTGCATTTGCTGAAAGTGTTCTGCCTGTATATTTTTATTTGAGGCAATTTATTATTTTTGCTTGCATGCATTCCAAGTAAGGGACCAGTGATCTCTTTGGTAATGTTTTGTCATCGTATAAAAAGCATGTATCTTTATAGTCCTCTATAAATGCTTCATAACAGTTGTTAAACAGGGAATTAAGAAAGCAGTTGCACACAAAATGTGTTCTGGATGTTGACTTAGAAAATTTGAAAAGCCCATTTCTCTTTCACATGAGAATGTGCACTTGTATATTCACAGCCTCATGCATTTGTTACTCTTCTCCCAACCTGATTCCATGTAGATAGTTTGGAATTACCAGAATCATTGGTCAGCACAACTAAATAGAAAAAAAAAAACTGCTTTAAAAGATTTGTGTAATAACAATAATAAGGTAAGAACTCTAATTAGAAAAATGAAAAACTGTAGGAGCAATAGGATTCCCTTGCTGGAATGAAATGGTCTCTTCAATGATGAAGAATTAAGTTTATGTTGATAGCCACGTGAGCTTTTCAGTTCATAGACCAGGGCCTTCTTCACTTTTTATCAAAACACTTGCATTAAAATAACTGTCTTTTCCTGCTAAATAAACAAACACTGGAAGCGATGATGTAAAATTCCATTCATTACCGTGTTTCCCCAAAAATAAGACCCTGTCTTATATTTTTCTGAACCCTGAAATAAGCACTTGGCCTTATTTTCAGGGAGGTCTTATTATTTTGGGGCGCATGGAGCAAGATGGGGCTCCTCTTGCCATCTTACCTGATTTCCAGCTCTGTCTCCCTAACCCTAACCAGAGGAAATAGCCAGGATCAGCTGTGCATGCATTTAAATATTTTCAGGGAGGGCTTATTTTCAGGGAGGGCTTATTTTCAGGGAGGGCTTATTTTAGTGAATGCACTCAAAGCCCGATTGGGCTTATTATCCAGGGAAGTCTTATTTTCAGGGAAACAGGGTATAATAATAAAAAAACTTGGAATTATTAAAGGAATAACTTTATCAAATTTGTGCAATATAAATAAATTTGGCTGAAATTCCATACACACTTCAGTGGAAGTTAATATCACTGGATTCATGGTGTATGTGATACTCAATGTATTTACTCATCTAAAGAATCTTTGACCAAAAACTCTTCCAGAGCCATATCCATTCAATTAAAAAAAGGGAAGTTCCATATTCTACAGCAGTAATGATTAAAAGATTTAAGAAAGAGAAGAAAAAGTTGGGAGAAAAAAAAAACAGGTTTTGGCACCAGATCCCAAAATTAAATGAGATATGAAATAAGGACCATTAGGATGCTTTCAAAATAATATGATATCCCTTAGTTTTAATGAGACAAAATATATAAAATTCTTCATGTATCAGAAAGAGCAAAAATAATACTTGTATATCTGGGGTTTACAGCTATATCTGATATTTAATCAAATCATTAAATTTAAAAAAGTATCAATTATTTTACCTCCTATACTGTCTTTCATCTATACAGAGGACCTGTCTTCATTGAAAAGTCTTCTGTCAATGCAATAATTTTCCACAGGACCAAGAAGCCTGAAATCAGGATTCTACTGAACATTTTTTTTAAAAAAAAATTGATTTATATTCCGCCCTTCTCTGGAGACTCAGGGCGGCTTACAGTGCATTAAGCAATAGCCTTCATACTTTTGTATATTTTATACAAAGTCAGCTTATTGCCCCCACAAACTGGGTCCTCAATTTACCTACCTTAGAAAGGATGGAAGGCTGAGTCAAATTTCATGATTTTTTACAGATTTTATTTATTCATAGTTTATGCCATGTGACTGGGTGGTTTAACTACGGGTGAAAGGCCTTGACTGATAAAGGGACTCTCAACTGGAGACTATGGTTCTCTGTACTTAAAGGAAAAGACAGTGTGGGCAAAGATAGTGCACCTATTACAAGTCTGTCTCTTCAGGATGGAATTACATGCTATTAAAATGCCTGAGGAAAGCCAGTGAAGTC